CTTGAGGCCAGGAGTTCAGGAGCAGTCTGGATAACATAGCAAGAACCCATCTCTATCAGAAAAAAATTAGCCAGTCATGGGGTACATGCCTGTAGTTCCAGCTACTTAAGAGGCTGAGTGGGAGGATCACTTGAGCCCAAGAATTTGAGGCTGCAGGGAGCCATCTTTGAGTCACTGCGCTCCAGCCTGGTGACAGAGAAAGACAGCCTGTCTCTAAATGAGTAAATAAATGAATTATATTATTTGCTTTAGCTATTTTGAGCTGAGTTCCTATTATTATCAAACAAGAGTCCTCAGTGACACATCTCCCTGTCTTCAGACACTAGGTACATGGAACCAAAGAATTCAATTTCCAAATATACCACACTTGGAAATCTTCATGCCTTTGTTAATTTTTCCAGGACTGATAGTTTCTTCATTTTCTCCATGTTCCCACAGCACTCTATAGATGCATAAAACTAAGAAAATTAATATTTTGTATGGAGGCATTTGTTTTTATACTTGCCTTGGAAGTTTTGAGCTGTTTAAGAGCAGACATAACATCTTAATCGTCTTTATATCTCTATCCCCTAGCATTACATTTAGCAACTGACATGTCCAATAAATGGTAGTCAAATTAAATTTACAGAGTGGGAGAGAAGTGTAACAATGGTTTTCTCTCTCTCTGGAGACTTATACCCCCACATTATAGATTTTGTCTGACCTAGTAATGGAGGTTCCCAGCCATGGTGTCTTGGCTGTTTAAGCCCATATGTTCTTAGATTCAGTCCTAGACTGTTCCACTAATCTGTTCTGTGTCACAAAGGGGATGGCTTTTCATGTGTCTGGCTTCTGGTGAGGGTCCATCCACAGGCACTAGTGGGAATTTAGCGGATACAATGAAGCTCCCTTCTGATCAACAGTTTATCCTGTTTCTGATACAGTTTCTCCTGATAAACAGAAGCTCCCTTCTGTTTATCAGGAGAAACCCAAAGTGTTTCTCCCCTTCTGTCTGCCTCAAGTAAGATCTTAGATAATAACTGTGTCTTTAAAAAAAAAATCACCAAATCCTACTACACAGGCATACTTTCATTTCCACTTAGCTGTTCCACAGCTCCTGGTCTCCAGGAGCACTGCCTCCTCCTATGGAAGGTGCGAGCCGCCTGCTCTTGCTAATCCCTTGGTTGCCTCACTGTCCTCTGGCTTCTCAGCATCTTTCATCACTTGTATAATTAATCCCAAGTATTTACACCCTCTGTTTGGAATACTGAGTCATTTCTGTCTTCCTGTTGGAGCCTGACTGATACATTGCCATCTATTTTTTTTTTTTTTTTTTAATGCCAAGAGCATTTACTTATGTGTTTGTGTCTGGAGCATTTAGAAAGACGCCCTATACCGCAACTCCCTCCATCGTCAGCCAATTATAGATGCCTACAATGACCTCTATGACGCAGTTATTTCCAGGAGTCCTTGTTAAAATACAAAATCTTTGTGTAACATATTTTTCGTAAGTCATACCTTCCATAAATAACTTAGAGCTGAGTTATGGTTCATTTGACCTCACTGAGACACAAACCCACGAAGTTTCTGCAACTTTCACTCTCTGAGCACAGCTAAGAAAAACTGACCATTCTCTTCACCCAGAAGAGCTATATTGGAAGCAATCTCATTTGAAACAAGGAAGTTTAATGTACCCACTTTCTTCCGCTGGGTAACTTATTCTGGCAGGAGTGGTGAAGCAAGAAAATGTTGATGATCTTTAGGCAGGAAGACTGCTACCAGCCGATGATAGAGATGGAGGTCCTTGGTTGTTTTAATTTCTCTTTAGGAAGGGAAAGGCAGGTTTCCAGCAATACCAGAGAAATCGCCGATTAATTTGACTCAATAAAGAGTGATTTGTATTCACCAAAATTGAGTCTTTACTATAGATCAGTCATGGTGCAGGGCATTAGGCTACAGTACGCACATAGGCTAAATTGTGAAGTGGTTCATGTTCACCTTGGTAATCCAAACACTCAGATCATTCACTCTTATATCATGTTAACTTTTCTTCTGTCAGCGTCTTCAGTCCCACCAAAACTTGACATATGAAGATCAGTAACATTAAAGTGAAAATCACTGCTAGTAACTTGTAAAATTATCGTGAGTGGAGTTTACATTTCAATGAGTATTGAAACCTTAACATAAAGGATTTAGTCTTCTTCAGTAAAATGTGAAAGACCTTGGTGAGGGAGTAATCTGAGGACCAGGATGCTTTCTCAGTCTCTGAAATAAGACCACTATTTCTTGCCCTACACTTTCTGCAACCCCACCCAGAAGGCACTGAAACCCTTTTACAAAATATCCCATACCAATACCATTTTTGATAGAATGTATGTAAGTAAAGCTACATTCTCAGTAAACTTACGTTAAAAAAACAAAAAAGGACTTCCCTATGAACAGCTCAGCAAATATTTCAAAGCATAATCTGACTCTTACCCCAACTTTCCCTTCTCCTTCCCCTATCTCTTCCCTTTTTGAAAATTTAGTCCAATGTCTATTAGATAGAGCCAGGCAAGGTAGACACTGCATGATGACAGGAGAGACGAGGCAACCAGGCCCAGGACACCAGAACCCAAGCTGAGTGGCACAGGGATCTGTGCAGTGTGAGGGTGAGAGGTGAGGTAGGAATGGGGTATTCACTACACACAGAAGAATGAGCCATATCAGAAACTACATTGGGGATAATGGAAGCCAGGTTTCTCACCATTGAAGAAGGAAATTACAAATAAAGAAATGGAGAAAACTAGAATGAACACTGTAGTGCTGGATTAGAACTGGAGACTTGAGTGTGAAATGATGCTTTAATATAGATAAGTATAGACATGTAGATATTTATATGTGTGCATGCATGTGTGTCACATATGTGTGTATACATTGTCAACAACTGTTTATCAGGAGGGCCTCAGAGTAGCAGCGTTCCAACTGAGCAGTGAGCTCACCCAGATCTTGGTTTCCTTAATACTATTTTTTACTAATAGAAAACCAGGACTTTTTGTTTCTAGGGCTGAGGGAAGAAAAGTGTAAGATGAGCCAGGAACACAGGATAGCTGCTCAAAAGTAAGGACATGGGGACATGTCAAAAGGACATACAAGTCAGCTTGAAGGTGCTCCTGCTGGGCAAATCAACAAAAGAATTAAGCATCAGAATACATAATGATAATAACAGATTACAGCCTGTTAAATAAAACAGGTATCTTTAAATCTATGCTGGAAATAAATGAATAAATTACAGGTTTAATGAGGAACAGAATATTTACATGCTCTTAAAATAATCCCTTCCCAACAAATATTTACAAAGAACAAAATAACTTTGCAACAAAGACATCTAGCAGACACCATCTGATATAGTTTGGCTGTGTCTCTACCCAAATCTCATCTTGAATTGTAACTCCCATAATTCCCATGTGTTATGGAAAGGACTCAGTGGGAGGTAACTGAATCACGAGGGTGGTTCCCCCAAACTGTTCTCACAGTAGTGAATAAGTCTCATTAGATCTGATAGTTTTATAAAGGGAAACCCCTTTCACTTGATTTTTCATTCTCTCTCTTGCCTACCACCACGTAAGGTGTGCCTTTTGCTTTCTGCCATGATTGTTAGGCCTCTCCAGCCACGTAGAACTGTAAGTACAATAAACCTCTTTTTCTTTATAAATTACCCAGTCTCAGATATGTCTTCATCAGAAGTGTGAAAACAGACTAATGCACCATCTTAATCAAGTGATGAAATGAACATACTGTATAAGAGCCAAATCAAAGTTGGGTGCCTGATTGGATGCAAGGAGAAGAGCACTGCATCACTTTTGTGATATTCCTGCCAGCAACACATAATCTGAATCTATCACAAAACACTGAACAAACTCAAATGGAAACATTCTATAAAATAGCTGACCTATAACCTTCAAAAATGTCAAGCTCACAAAAACCAAGGAAAGACTGGGAAACAGGTCCTAACTGAAGGAAACATAAAAACCAAATGGACAAGTTATTTCTTGAATGGATTGGGTGGTTAATAATAAAGCCATGCTAATCCTACAGTTGTTTTAGTTGTATTTAGTTGTATTATGATTATATAGGACAATGTCCCAGCTTGTAGGAAATTCACACTAAAGTTTGTGAATGATGAAGAATCAGACTGGCAAATTACTTTCAAACATTTCAGGGAGGAAACAGTCTTTTTGCACTGTGTATTTTTTCTCTGGGTATGAAATTATTTTCTAAATTAAAAGTGTAAAATGTGGCCAGGTGTGGTGGCTTACACCTGTCTTCCCACATTTTGGGAGGCTGGAGCAGGAGAATCACTTGAGCTCAGAAGTTCAATGGCAGCCTGAGCAACATAGTGAGAGACATTGTCTCTACAAAAAAATATAAAAATTAGCCAGGCGTGGTGGCTCACACCTATAGTCCCAGCAACTCAGGAGGCTCAGTTGGGAGGATTGCTTGAGCCTAGGAGATCAAGGCTGCAGTGAGCTGAGATCATACCAGTGCATTCCAGCCTGAGTGACAGAGGGAAACTCTATCTCAAAAGGAAAAGTAAAGAAGAAATGTAAAATGCAATCTCATTCTATGTCTTGCATGTACATGGCCCTGATACAGTTGAAAGCTTGTCTCATTTTCTTCATTGTGGTTGAATCCAATTTAAATTAAAATACAAAATGCTTGACAATCATACAGTCAATATTTGCTGCAGGAAACAAAAGAGTGCTACACTAGTATTTACGACTCTTAAAAAGGAGACAATTAACAATTTTAACACACATTTAAACCTTCTGCCTCTAGGAGATATATTATCAGACAATATTCAAGGAAATCAGTGCTGTATAGATATTTTTGGTCTATTAAGGTGCAATTTACAGTACGGAACTGACACAATACTGCAGCAGAAACCGTAAGTTACAAAGTAATAACTCTCACAGACAGTAATTAGAACCCTTGATCCTCCAGATACAGCAACTTACATTCTTTGAGAAAACAGGCTCTTTCCCTGACTAGGATGCTCCACAGGTCTTACCAAACCAAAGAAACAATTTTCCACTCAACGCTGGTTTTTGAAAACCATTGTTCTAAAACTTTTGGTTTTGTAAGTTACAATTAATGAGTATTCCTTTAAAAAGAAACTATTTTCAAAAGATGATGTATTTTACTTGTTATATTAACTTGTAGTGCATTTTATTTCAAACAGAGAGAGAATTGCCAAAGATAGCAAATAAAAAATTTTTAAATATTTAATTCATTAAATAATTGCTTCAAATCAATCTTGTAAAAGGCCTCAAACTAGACACTGAGGGGAAAAGAATATTGACTAAAATATCAGCTTCACTCTTCAGGAGCTCACCTTATGTAACAGAATACATCATCGTTACACAATATACTGATATTCAGTTATTCTATCAAGAAGAACATTGAAGAATAAGTTCAATTATTAAAATTTACATTCAGGCCAGGCATGGTGGCTCATGCCTGTAATCCCAGCAACTTGAGATGCTGGGATGGGCAGATCACTTGAGGTCAGGAGTTTGAGACCAGCCTGGCCAATATAGCAAAACCCCATCTCTACTAAAAATACAAAAATTAGCCAGGTGTGGAGGTATGTGCCTGTAATCCCAGTCACTTAAGAGACTGAGGCAGGAGAATCATCCTGGGAGGTGGAGGTTGCAGTGAGCCAAGATTATGCTACTGCACTCTAGCCTCAGTGACAGAGTTAGATTCTGTCTAAAAGAAAAAAAAATCTACATCCAGAGGAAGAGAGTTATATGAAACAAATCATCAAAATCAAGGAAATGCAGGCAAACTTATGTTAGAAGATGACAAAAGTGTTATATGTGTTCAAGTCTTAAATGTGGTTATTAAGTCCCTCCATTTGTACCAGAAAGGACAAAAGAAACACCACTCTTATCCTCCTTCGACAAAAACAAACAAAAATTAAAAATCACAGGTTAAAAATTAAGATCAAGCTCCACCTGACAAAATTAAGAGACTGAGGGACATGTATAAAAGGAAAAGTGAGTTTTGCCATGGAAATGGGTTGAAGGATTCATGGACCCATTGTATATTTATATGAGACTCAAGTAATTTTTTCCAGAAATTGACAGAACAATGACCCACACAAGATTGCTTCCTGCTTTGCTGCCAAAACACCAGGCAAAAACGGGCAACATGTTCATCATGCCTGAGAGCAGCTCTGACTCCACTGGTACTATGTAATATGTTATTTTCAAACCATGTTAATGTCATAAACTGGCAGGCATTGTATCTTGTCAATTACTAGCCAGTTCATTATTAACATTACTGAGTGAATATTATATATGGTATAATTCATTACAGTGTAAAAATAGGCATTTATATCCTGAGGAATTCCTCACCAAGACTATATGGAATATTTTTGATCAGTGGAGGAGACACATTAAGTAGCCTTGTCCCATTGCCCTTAACTCTTACATTGTTCATTTTATTAAAGGTATCATGCAATGAGAGTTAGCAACATAATCACTGCAAAAATTCACCTTATAAGAAGACATAATCTACTTTTTATGAATTGGAATTACAAAATATTACAAAACAAGCAGAATCACTTGTTTTGAAAAAAGCATCACAGTCCTATCATCTGAGATATAAATTTAAATTTCCACCTAACATCACTGAGAGCTGTGACTAATTCAGTCTCTATGGTAAGATAAAATTTTTAATACAGTCTGAAGTTTGCAATGTTGACCACATTTTCATGCAGGTTGAAGTAGACATATTTCATGGGTTTTAGTATATGTCAAACAATTCTTAACTGTGAATATCCATTAATGCAAATATGAGACAGACAAGTTAGCAAAGAGATCTAGGTCAGCTGGGCATGATGGCCCATACTTGAAATCCCAGCACTTTGAGAGGCCAAGGCAGGAGGCTCACTTGAGGCCAGGAGCTTGAGACCAGCCTGGGCAACATAGCAAGACCCCATTTCTAAAAAAAAAAAAAAAAAAAAAAATTAAAAAATTAGCCAGGTGTGCTGGTGCATGCCTGTGGTTCTGCCTACTCTGGATGCTGAGGTGTGAAGATCACTTGAGTCCAGGAGCTGGAGGCTGCAGTTAGCCAAGATCGTACCACTGCACTCCAGTCTGAGTGAGAGAGTGAGACCCTATCACTGAAAAAACAGAAAAGGAGAGAGAGATCTGGTTTACTTTGTGTTTCTTTGTGACACTGAAGCTGACAGTAAAATGGTTCCCATAAATTAGAATTCTACAAAGAAGCTGTTGGCAGAGACTTTTGTGTTTTGTTTTGCTTCATTGCCTCTCCACAGCCATATTTTGGGGAGTTCACTGGTGACAACTTTTAACGGAAAGAGGCTCTCACTTTGCGGCCCTTCAGAGGCTGTGGTGGGCGGTAATTGCTCAACAGAAAAGCTGCTGCTTCACCCTCCGCTGTGCACAGGAGACTGCGGAATTTGGCCAGCTGTAGACGAAGAAAGGAGTTAGCTTCAGCATAGAAATCCCCACCAATATTAATGAATTACCCTGCATAAAGAATTAAGATATGCTTATAACCAGGAACAAAAAAAGTTTGCAATGAAAATTTTCTGTTATATGTCATATATATAATAAAGCAACTCTTCTGCTGAATTCTCATCACTGTACAAATACCTGCAGGTTCCAAAATTAAATATATAAGCATTTTTAATTTGATGATCAAAGTAACAAGAGGAAACATCTGGAGTGTGGTTTACAGAGTAAATATTTAGAAATCAGAGAGTGTTTTTCAACCTATAAACACACACACATATGTTTTATGACAAAATGAACTCAACTATACATGCTGTTTTGAAGCCTAATTTTTTCACTTAGTTTATATCCTAGCCATCTTTGCATACCAATAAATATCAACCTACATCATTATTGTTTATTGCTGAAAACTATTCTATTATAAATATGTCTTATAAATTTTTAACAATCCCTTGGTGATTTAATATTATTTGTTAATATTTAGTACAAGTCTAAAATGAAGCTGAAAAAATTAAAGACATTTTATCTTCTCAAAAATATGCATCAAAATTATATTGTCAATTAATAAAAGCAAATCCTTGGTGTTTGTTATTTTGTTTTATTTTGATGAAGACAAATTATTAGGAATGAGAACCTCTGTTCTCTAAACTTTGTTAACCACCTAATCTCAGAGTCAAGCAAATTTAGACTAGGACACATCCTTTAGGTTTTTATCAAATACCTGCCTAAAATGTTTCTTGTATAGTACTAACCACATGGGGGCAGAGGGGAGAGAAGTCCTTTATAAGAAACAGGCAACAGTTTATAACCATGCCCTATGGCAGATAGGATAAACCATCATATATACAAGCAACCATGTTTTCCACATGTGATATTTTGAGGTTATTTTTTTAAAGTACAGATATAGGAAGGAGACAAATGTTTACAATGTACTATTACTCATGTTTCATTAGACCAGATCATTGTAGTTATAACCACATGAGACTTAAGAGAATCTCTGGTCAAGTAGCAGAGGCTAATAAAATGTAACCTCTGGGACCATAGGAAAGACACCTAGCCTTCTGCAGATCATGACAATCCATGTCTGTCTGCAGTGGCCATTCTGAGTGTCTGTGCAGGAATTCTGAGTCCAGAATCAAAGCACGGGTCCACAGGCCTCATCAAGCAACCTGCCTCCACAGTGATACTGCTGATTCCTCTGAAGACATTGTCTTGATTTTCCTCCCAGAGCCCCAGTTCCTGCCCCTCTTCAACTTCTCTGGAAGTTGTCATGGCTCCCTGCCCCGGCAGCACGTTCAGCTCACCAGTCTAGAACTGGATCTGACTTCAGTTCTTTCTCTGACCAACCTGTGCATTTTGGAAAGAGTCCCTAGACCTGTTCTGATGTCTCGCCAAATCACTTTCCCTTATAACTCTGGGTCTCACAATCATTAGGCCCAGCTAGATCAACCCAGTATATGCCAGTCTCCACTCAGATTAGCTCTGGTGTCCTCCACCACTGCCCTGGCCTTAAAATGCACATCCCTGACGGATTCTTCACCAGTCTCATCCCCTTATGTGGTTCCAGGTTTTATTCAGGCAGCAAATCTGCCCCTCTGTCACTAAGGCTGACTCAGCACCTACAGGTTCCCAGTAGGAATGTCCCCAGTTCAGCTTTGAGGCTGAAGCAGGTATGACCTGTTTTGTGGTTTTCCTTGACTCTAATACTGAAATTTTAATTTCATTGTGTAGCAACTCTGATAAGCTGAAATACACTTCTTCTATGGTTCTGTAAACAGCTTTATGTCACTCTCATGCTCAAACCTTTTTTTTTAATAGAGAAGGGGTTTCATCATGTTGGCCAGGCCAGTTTTGAACTGCTGACCTCAAGTGATCCTCCCGCCTCAGCCTCTCAAAGTGCTAGGATTACAGGTGTAAGCCACCACACCCAGCCTTCAAATCTCTTTAATAGCACTCCACTGCCTGCCAAAATTAAGTAATAATAAAAATAATTTCTGTTATGAAACATGATGGTCTAGGCACTATAAGTGCTTTACATTACTTCAGTTAATCCCTAAAATGCCCCGATCAATAATGTATAATTATCCCATTTAACAGATGAGAAACTTGAGGGGTAGCTGAGAAGTTTCAATAAATAATCCTTCTTGACAAGCCACGCACTAACCACAGACTATACACTGTCTTTAACTTGTTTTGTTTTCACATTTTTCCCTATCCTTTTAATTTACTTTTTATTACAGAAATGTTCAAAAGTACACAAAGATAGAAAAAGCAACATCATAAATCACTAGGAATCCATGACCCAGCTTCAACAATCATCAACATGTAGCCACTAAGCTCTCTTTCCATTGGCCATGCTACCCACACTAGGCTATTTTTAAGCAAATACCAAACATCATATCATTTTAAACATCTCCAAATACATCCCTGTAATACATTACATGTCTAACATTTTTATAAGTACCCAAAACAAATGTGTCAGTGTGGCTTCCAAGCTCCTTGACCATCCAGTTCTAACTAACCTTCTGAGATTGATCTATTACGGATGTCTCACTCTAAGCCAGTTTTGGGAGGGATGATCCCAAAGCATCTGAATGAAAATACTTTGAGTTAATTCTTAAAAATTCAGATTCCTGGACCCTACCCCAAACTTGTGAATCAGAATTTCTAAGTCCCAAGGATTCACTTTTTTGTTGTTGTTTTTTGAGATAGTCTCGTTCTGTTACCCAAGCTGGATTACAGTGGCACAATCTCAACTCACTGCAACCTCCACCTCCTGGGTTGAAGCGATTCTCATGCCTCAGCCTTCAGTGTAGCTAAGGTTATAGGCAGGTGCCACCATGCCCAATTAATTTTTTTTTTTTAATTAGTGGAGACAGGGTTTTACCATGTTGGCCAGGCTGGTCTTCAACTCCTGGCCTCAAGTGGTCTGCCTGCCTCAGCCTTTCAAAGTGCTGGGTTTACAGGAGTGAGCCACTGCGCCGTCTGAGGAAGAGCTGTTATCTAGACTATATAAAGAACTCTTGCAAACAACCCAATGTAAAAATGGACAGATGATCTGAACAGATACTTAACAAAAGGAGATACAATCATCGCCAATAAGCATATAAAAAAAGTTCAAAATCATTGGTCATTAGATAAATGCAAATTAAAATCACACATACACACATAACCACTAGAACATCTAAAGTGAGAAAAACTGACAATGCCAAATACATGCAGGGGTATGAAGCAACTAGAAATCTTATACATTGCTGATGGGAATGTAAGATGACACAGCCACTTTAGAAAACAATATAGTAGTACTTAGCCGGATGCAGTGGCTCATGCCTGTAATCCCAGCGCTTTTGGAGGCTGAGGCAAGCAAATCACTTGAGGTCAGGAATTTGAGACCAACCTGGCCAACATGGCGAAGCCTCGTCTTTACTAAAAATACAAAAAGTAGCTGGGCATGGTGGCGAACACCTGTAATCCCAGCTACTTGAGAGGCTGAGGCAGGAAAATCGCTTGAACCCAGGAGTTGGAGGTTGCAGTGAGTGAGACTCCTCAGGATAAAAAAAAAAAAGAAGAAAGAAAACAATAGGCCGGGCGCGGTGGCTCAAGCCTGTAATCCCAGAACTTTGGGAGGCTGAGGCGGGTGGATCACGAGGTCAAGAGATCGAGACCATCCTGGTCAACATGGTGAAACCCCGTCTCTACTAAAAATACAAAAAATTAGCTGGGCATGGTGGTGCATGCCCGTAATCCCAGCTACTCAGGAGGCTGAGGCAGGAGAATTGCCTGAACCCAGGAGGCGGAGGTTGCGGTGAGCTGAGATCGCGCCATTGCACTCCAGCCTGGGTAACATGAGTGAAACTCCGTCTCAAAAAAAAAACAAAAAAAAAAAGAAAACAATATAAGAGCACTTTGCAAAATTAAACAAACACGACCTCGTAATTCCAGTTCTAGGTATTGACACAAGACATATAAAAATATATACACACAAAAGTGTGTATGCGAATTACTCCTAACATCCAAATATGGATCGCTATTATTCATAATGGCCAAAAATTAAAAGCAAGCCAAATATCTATCAATTGTGAAATATATTTTTTAAAATATAATATATCCATACCATGGAATATTACACAGTAATAAAAATTAATGAAATGGGTCAGGTACGGTGAATCACACTTGCAATCTCAGGATTTTGGGAGGCCAAGATGGGTGGATCACGGCCAGGAGTTCAAGACCAGCCTGGCCAACATAGTGTAACACCTTCTCTACTAAAAATACAAAAATTGGCTGGGCATGGTGGTGGGTGCCTGTAGTTCCAGCTACTCAGGAGGCTGAGGCAGGAGAATTGCTTGCACCTGGGAGGCAGAGGTTGCAGGGAGCCAAGATCATACCACTCCACTCCAGTCTGGGCAACAGAGCTAGACTCTGTCTCAGGGAAAAAAACAAATAAATAATGAAATGGGTGAATCTTAAAAAGATTATACCAGTAAAAGAACTCAAACACAAAAATCTAGTGTATGACTCATTTAAATAAAATTAGAGGAAAAGTAAAATTCTAGTGACAGCACACCAGTTGTTCCCTAGGACTATGGCGGAGAGGGTGAAGGACTGACAAAGAGCACCAGAAAATTTCTGGCTGAGATCTACAGCTTTGTTTACTTATTTATTTTGAGATGAAGTCTCACTCTGTCACCCAGGCTGGAGTACGGTGGCATGATCTGGGCTCACTGAAACCTCACTTCCCAGGTTCAAACAATTCTCCTGCCTCAGCCTCCTGAGTAGCTGGGACTACAGGCGCGTACCAGCACATGTGGCTAATTTTTATGTTTTTAGTAGAGACTGTGTTTTACCATGTTGACCAGGCTGGTCTCAAACTCCAGACCTTAGATGATCCACCTGCCTTGATCTCCCAAAGTGCTGGGATTAGAGGTGTGAGCCAATGCACTGGTTGAGATCTATATCGTAATTATAGTAGTTGTAGCATGCCTATATACAGTTACCATAATCAGCAACCACACACTTAAAATTCATGAGTTTTATTGCATGCAAATAATATAATAAACAAAAAGAGGTGTTTGTTTGTTTGTTTGTTTGTTTGTTTAAGGAGAGTAGAAACTAAGCCAAGTATTTTGCACATTGAATTTCAGCTCAGTAACCTAATGTTCATGATTTAAGATAACCCAAAGAGGCTTGGCAAGAAAAGTTGGCCCTCCAGAGAAAATGACAGATTTGTCTTCAAAAGGATCGGAAGATAGTACATTTATCTGCTCACTGGCATGGCAGTTAAGAATTTAGTCCTTGATGAGTGACTCTGAGAGAGAGAAAAATGAATTTAAATTTAAAAAAAAAAATGAAAAACATCTGATTTGCCCCTTAGGTCAAACTATGACTTGGCACGAAATTGTGGAGAAACTCTGAGAAAATAATCTGGTGCCAACTCACTGAAAAAAAGAGGATTTAGACTTTACAGCCAGTGACATTATATGATGGAACTGGAAAATGAATATAAACAGTATTTTTCATTGATCTAAAAAAAATAAAGACCGTCCAAAATTGAGATAAAAATTTATCTTTTGAAAAGTAACTCCTGGCTGGGCGGTGTGGCTCACACCTGTAATGATGCAGCACTTTGGGAGGCCAAGGCAGGTGGATCACCTGAGGTCAGGAGTTCAAGACCAGTCTGGCCAAAATGGTGAAACCCCATCTCTACTAAAAGTACCAAAACTAGCCATGCCTGGTGGTAGGCGCCTGTAATCCCAGTTACTCAGGAGCCTGAGGCAAGAGAATAGCTTGAACTCAGGAGGTGGTGGTTGTAGTGAGCCGAGATCGTGCCACTGCACTCTGAGCTGGATGACAGAGTAAGATCCTGAAGAAAGAAAGAGAGAAAGAGAGAGAGAGAGGAAGGAAGGAAGGAAGGGAGGGAGGGAGGGAGGGAGGAGAGAGAAAAAGAAGAAAGAAAGGAAGGAAGGTCTTTAAGTCAGTGATATATAGACAAGACATTCATTTTATTTTACATAAAAGAGTTAAGTGATGGGTTAATTCTATAAGACCAGTTTATGTTTTAGATTTTTTTTTTTTTTTTTTTTTTTGAGATGGAATCTTGCTCTGTCACCCAGGCTGGAGTGCAGTGGCCTGATCTCTGCTCACTGCAACCTCCACCTCCCAGGTTCAAGTGATTCTCCTGCCTCAGCCTCCACAGCAGCTGGGACTACAGGTGCATGCCACCACACCCAACTAATTTTTATATTTTTAGTAAAGACAGAGTTTTGCTATGTTGGCTTTACTGGTCTAGAACTCTTGACCTCATGTGATCCTCCCGCCTTGGCCAGAATGCTGGGATTACAGAGGTGAACCACCGTGCCTAGCTATGTTTTCAATTTTTTTTTGTTTTTTGGTTTTTTTTTCTTTTGAGATGGATCCTTGCTCTGTCACCCAGACTGGAGTGCAGTAGTGCAATCTTGGCTCACTGCAACCTCTACCTTCTGGATTCCAGCGATTCTTCTGCCTCAGCCTCCCAAGTAGCTGGGACTACAGGCACCCGCCATGATGCCCGGCTATTTTATTATTATTATTATTAGAATCGCTGGAATCCAGAAGGTAGAGGTTGCAGTGAGCTGTGATCCGCCAGCCTCAGCCTCCCAAAGTGCTGAGATTACAGGCATGAGCCACCGCACCCAGCTTGTTTTTGATTTTTTAAGTAAACTTTTTATTTTGGTACAGTTTTCAATTTATAGAATTATTGCAAAGATACTACAAATATTTCTCATATACCCCAAACTCTGTTTCTCCTATTATCAATACCATGTTAGTATGGAATATTTCCCATGATTAATGAATCAATATTAAAATGTTAGAATTAACTAAAGTCCTTCCTTTATTTAGATGTTCTTGTTTTTACCTAATGTCTTTTCCAGGATCCCATCCAGGAAACACTATATTTAGTATTCATATTTCCTTAGGCATTTCTCAAATGTGACAGTGTCTCAGACTCACCATTTTTTTATGACCTTGACAGTTTTAATGACCTTGAGAGTACTGACTGAGTATTTTATAGAATGTCCCCTAATTGGGTTTTGCCTGATATTTTTTCATGGTTTGACTGGGACCGAATTTTTTTTTCTTTTGCTTTATTCTTTAACTTTTAAAACCACCATAATATCATATTTAAATATATTGAATTGTTACTCAAATAACTTTCTCAATTTGGTTAAAAACTAAAATAAGTGAAAGTGTTCCTACTATAACATATTTACGTGAATGCTCCAAAGTGAATTCACAATCACTTCAGAGCTCTAAAATGCAGCTATTCTTTTATATATTGCTCTGCATAAAAACTACATTAATCATAGTAATCATTAAGCCTCAAATAAGAAAAAGTAGTGAATCCACAGTTAGGGAGTCATAACTCCTAAACTTGCAGGAAGATATTTTTAATAAGGTTAACTTTATTATTTTTAAGGAAGTAAACTATATATTTTGATATATTCTCTTCCAAATCACTGGTGGATTGAAAACAAAAAAACAAAACTAAACAAAAAGTTATTTTCCAAGCGGCTTTAAGAAATAACAATGCCCTTGAAATATGAGGGAAAACATTACCCCCTTATTAACTACCTTGATGTTACAGTTTATTCATTCTTAATATTATTCAGTTCAAATTTAATAAAGAAATATAAAAGTAAACCATTTAGCATGTGACGAGGAGAAAATGAATTCCCTTAATAAGGACTCTGAATCAGTTACAGGTCATTTTCCTCTAGACACAATGACAGAAAAAATTCACAGGAGTTTTCATGTCAGTCAAGCTCTGGATTTCTACACAGACTTTTGTAAAATGTTTTAAAAACTATACACCAGGTTATTATTTGTCTTTGATACTAAAGACAAGGTCAACAAGAACAAATACCCAACAGAAAGAAGGATGTGTTCAATGCCCCTAGGGGAAATGCTGCCTGAAATGATCTTGGTAAAGGTGGGACAGCTCTGGTATTATTAGAAGAAAAAACAAACAGCTAGGCAGGTGGGCAAGCCCAGTGCATGTGTACTTTATTAGCTGCAAAAATTACTAGACTAAGTTCATGCTAAGATATTGCACCTAATTCAAAAAGAACAACAAAAACAAAACCAACGAAGAAGCACAGCATCCAAAAACACAGCATCCACCTGCCAGATTGGTCAGCCCCATGGCTCAGTGCTTCAAGCTCCAAGCTGAATACACTGAACATGATCCTAGCACTGTAATCCTTGGAAGGCCAAGGCAGGAGGATCATTTGAGGCCAGAAGTGGATCACTTCAAGACCAGCCAGGGCAATAATGCAAGACCCTGTTTACACAAATTTTTTTAAAAGTAAGCCAGGCATGGTAGCATACACCTGCAGTTCCAACTATCTGAGAGGCCGAGGCAGAAAGACCAATGGCTTGAGCCCAGGAGTTCAAGGCTAGGGTGAGCTATAATTGCACCGACTCCACACCAGCCTGGGTGACAGACTAGATATCCTGAGTCTAACAGACTCTTGGCCTATAGGGGAAACTGAATAAGCATTTAACATAAGAATGAGTGAGTAGATATCTACACAAAAAGAGCTATCCCATAGCCTCTCAGCAAATGCTTAAGCATTAAGACCCTCAGACAGCTCAACAAAAGTTTTGCCAACAAATGCCAAAAGATCAACAACTCCTCCTCTCCATATCACTCCCCTCCTCTTTCACTCTCCTTCCTCTTCTCATAATTGTAGTAAGAACACTTAAATGAGATCTACCATCTTAACAAAAATTTTTTTAGACAGGGTCTTTCTCTGTTGCCCAGGCTGGAATGCAATGGCACAATCCTGGCTCACTACAGTATCAACCCCTCGGGTTCAAGCGATTCTCCTACCTCAGCCACTTGAGTAGCTGGGACTACAGGCACACACCACCATGCCCGGCTAATTTTTGTATTTTTGTAGAGACAGGGTTTTCCCATGTTGCCCAGGCTGGTCTTGAACTCCAGGGCTCAAGCGATCCACCCAGCTCAGCCTCCCAAAGTGCTGAAATTACAGGCAGGATCCACTGTGCGCAGCCTACCCACTTTACAAGTTTTTAAGTGTACAAAGTAACAACTTCTTACACTTAGCAGGCACACATTTCTTAGGGCAGTGCACCAATCACTGTCCTCGTTTCACTTGGAAATTTGTAGAAGCAGGTGTGGAGACTAAGATCAGAAAGAAAAATGTCACCTTCTCTAAGTAGCCTCTCTCTGAATTTTGTTTGTATCTCAGCCTGTATCAAACAAAGATATCAAACAAACAGCAACAAAACAAAAGCAAACAATTGTAGTGCTCAAAATAATGCTTCACTTTCATCAGTGTCGCTAGGTACATTTCTAAGAAGTGGCAAAGAAATCGCCTAATCATAGAAGGTCAAATAAGAAAGGATCATAGATCTCATCTAGCCCAATCACCCATCTGATTAATAAAGAGAAAGCACAGACTTGGAAACGCAGCAGAAATCAAGGGCATGATTTTAAAAAGGAAGCCCAGTTTCCTCTGAGGGAATCAGTATCAACCTGGAAGAGATTGTGTACCTGTTGAGAGCTGATGTTTATAGGTTGCTTTAAAATAATCCATGTGACACTCTCAAGAAGAGGTGGAACTGTAAGAGAACCAGGATATGTCCAGTAGTCCCAGGATGGTGGAAGTAGAGATAATGGGTCAAAATTTGTGAATCGAGTTTGTTTACCCTGGAGGAACGAAAAGAATTCCCACATATTAGAATGGGATAGCTTTACATAGACCTCAAAAAACAAACCTCTGTGTACATCCATTATAATTCCATAAATAATATAGAATATCTGTATCTAGAATTATCTATTATCTTCCTTTAGTGTCTTTAAAAAAGCATCTATCTTCATCTTAAAATTTTTAGATAAAGTAACATATCATATAGATTTATTTAAAAAGCACAAGTTTTGTTTTAATATAAGTGGTCCCTTAATGCGCTACAATTAAGGGCTTACTCTGTAATATAATACCAGAGACTAATTATGCATACATATATTTATTCATGTTCATTTTAGGTAATGTAAGACCCTTCCATTCAAAATATAAGTGGTAATAGGTTACTTCTGCTTTTTTCATCAAGTATGTTTCAAACTTGCTTCAAAGCAGGCGGTATATGTCTAAGGTCTAAGTCTTTAAAGGAAGATAAGAGAATGTAGGACAGAACAAGAAATATGTTAATTATTAACAGATAGTAATTCATTTTACCTTTTCTTTAATGGAATCCAAAATGTCAATAATCTTTTGCAGGTGGGAATTAGGTTCACCAATCTAAAAACACAAAATTTCAAAAGAAATGGTTACTGTAGCAGATCAAATCTGAATCACTCAATTTCAGCCACTAGTTTAAAATTATTTTTTAAAAAACCTTAGCCAGCAGAATATACAATGGTTGTTCTGTAACAAAGTTTCTCTTTTACCTGCCGGCCTTATCATGCCAGAAGAATCTGAACAACAAGATAATATTACAGGGTTCCTGTACTGAACTTTCGGTTCAGTTGCGAAACTAATAGTAACAGCTTAATATTTGCTAAGTTTTGTCAATGTTTAAGATGTAGGTTAACTTGAGAGAAACTTTGCTTAAGATAGTCTAACAAATAACCGGCACTACTAAGCTAGATGTGACAGTCAGACGCTAAATTCAAACAGACAATGGTGGCATCAAAATACTAGACTATGCAAACATCTCACACTTGCAGCCTAAAATGATTTGAGATCCCAAAGGGAATATATCATCATAAGCAAACTCATCATAAATTGTAGATACATAAATGATCCTCTTTTCATCACTGCAGGTGTTCTGAATCTACCTGAAGGTTTTAAAGCACCTGGATCCTGCTGCAATCACCCCTTTTTGGTATCCTTAAAGGCAAGAGATTGTTGCCATCTATGACAATCTCCGCTTGTGAGTTACAACACATAGAGAGTATGGGGTGTGACAAAGGTGTACGCCTACAAGAATGTGGAGGCAGTGGGAGGTGAAAGGCCCAACCTGTTCCCAGGTATGATGACAATAGTTGTCTAACCACATGTGAATATTAAAGGAAACACAACAAAAAAATTTTTTAAACCAGTGAGTATATTGGGACAATATGTCATTGTAGTGAGACCAGTGTTTCAAGAATCAGGAGCTTGAACTTTATCTGTCCTAAATAGTATGCAAGTAGGAAGAGCCCAGAATAAATGTTTTCTTCCAGTATCTCAGTTGTTATTTCTGCTGCTATTCTTGTTGTTGATGTTATTCTTGATGTTATTCACATAAAAATGATCAATGGACAATAAGAAGACTTATAAGACAATGCGCCTAAATGAATATATAATTTTTAATATTCATTTCAAAAGAAAAATGCTATACCTAAAAGGAGTTTACTATTACAAGATGATTGAATGTCTGCTTCATGACTGAAGCTCTCTCTTCAACAAGGCTGATCATTGAAAATGAAATCAATGGATTCTCACCTGTAAAAACACTCCCAAGACAGCCAGTCCATCTGGTTCATGAGCTGCCTCAACAAAGCTGGGGTATTTGTCTGAATTCCAATGAACAACATGGAGCTGAAAGGGAGATAGACAACATGGTTGGAATGTTTTGTTAGACATCCTGAAAAAGATAAATGCAAATAAAACATTTACAGATTTTCCAGTGTTGGTACACTCATATGTATAATGTATTTATCATAAGAATCTTGGACAGAATCCTCTCATTTACTTTTGTCCAAAAGTGAAAATTCATGCAGTGAAGGATCATGGTCATTTAACTAGCCTGTGGTGCGCTATATTAAAGACTATATCGAATGCCTTAAGCATCCCAGCCGGACATGGTGGTGCATGCCTGTAGTCCCAGCTACTTGGGAGGCTGAGGCAGGAGAATTGCTTGAACCCAGGAGGTGGAAGTTACAGTGAGCTGAGATCGCGCCACTGCACTCCAGCACTCCAGCCTGACTGACAGAGCAAGACTTCATCTCGAAATTAAAGGAAAAAAAATGCCTTGAACAAGCCCCTGTATCCCTAACAAATGCCTGTGTTAGGAAAAGAATGCCTGTGAACAAGAAAATGCCTGTGAATAGCGAAAAAAAAAGCCTGTGAACAGCCCCTGTATCCCTAACAAACTCCAGCTATTGCTCCTAAGTAACTGGAGGCTCCTCCATGTCTTGCACAGATGAGACTGCAATGGAGTAGCCTCAGATCAAATCCCAGCTGAAAGTAAAGTCCAAGGAAGGGGCCTGAGCTCACAGATGGGTGAAATCAATCTCCTACCCAGTAGGTGTTCAAGGACAATCCCGCTACCAAGGACAGTGAGGCTGTTTCTAAAACTGCCCAGTTAAATGTTTACTACCTGTTGTTTTAAGACTTTTTATGGCTTGAAAATACAAAGTCTCCTTATGAGTAATCATGTTAAGCAGCATTCAAACTTTTTTATTATTAAGATGATTTTTAATTGGCAAATCATAATTGTATACATTTATAGGGCACAATGTAATGTTTTAATATACGTTTAAATATGGAATGATTAAATCAAGCTAGTTAACATATTCATCATCTTACACATAAAAATGCTTATCATTTTGATATATTTATCACCTTCTATGAATATGTGTAGATACTTTGCTGAGAGCAAGTTTCAATGGGGGAAAAAGAAGCTTCAGTAGTCTAGGAATCAGAGGAAGAAAATGGGAGAGTAGCTGGTGGTACTAAGGTGAAGGATAAGTAGACAAACGGGAAGCCAAGGAGGTAGAGGGGCCTGGAGCTCTGGAAAACCCACCTCATAACTCTACCCATACGCAAGCAGGCTTATGCAACACCTAAAGGTATCCTAAATGTTCTATCATTGCAAGCAATACAGTATCTCAAACACACCCAGATTCGTGAAAGATTTCAGAATAACGACAAAGGAGAAAACCACTTTTGAGGAGTCTTCAGCCCTGGTTAAGCGAAGGACAAACTGAGACAGAAGCCAAAGGGTAATGTGACACGCCCAAAGATTTAGCTACAATAATAAATGGTGATCAGGACATGGTGTCCAAGGACCCAATATAAGGGACTGACTTCAGACAATATCTCTTCTAATGAATCCCTTTTGTTTATCAGAGAGGAAATACTTATGTGGGCCTTCATGCCCAAATCATCTTTCTAGGTGAATGTTACAGAGATAATTTAGCATATTCAAACATATGTTTATCTCATCCTTTAAATATAACTCTATGTCTTACAGGCAATTTATAGGAGATAATTTCTGGATAGATGACAATTATCATAAACAGTCAACTATAAAACTATAAAACAGTGCACCATTCACAATCAAGGAAGACTGTGCGGTATCAGGCAAGTAATATAAATGTGGATCCCTGTAATGCCATGTTCCAAGTTGGTGTGAGATAGTTGGGGGAGGAAAGAATCTGAAAACACTGGCTGATGAAACATAATTCATTTGGCTCACATGAGACAAATGACATTCACTGTCAGGGAAGGGCTGATAAGGATGTTAAGATTGTTTCAAGTGGCTCCGTGCCAGTGTACCAGATCTCTTAGTAAGAGATGACACTGGACAGAAAGATAGAAAATGACTTCTTTAGGGTCACACCAAGAACTGATTAAAAAATAAATGCGTAACTAAAGAGAGATGAATGAACATATATATATATATACACACACACACATACACATATATATATCCTATATATAACCGTTCTTTTGCTAGTTAAAAATACAATTGCTTAAAATATGATGGGAAACTAGGCCAAGAAAATCTTTTTTTTTTTTCCTCTCCTACACACCTTGCTTGACTGGCAGCAGTACTTTCACAGAGGAACTGATACCATTTCTATTAGCATTATGTTTGAATTAAAGCATAGAAAAACAAAATAGCAAACTCACATTTCCTAACAATGACAAGAGTAGTGATCTGAGCTGAATGACAAGAAATTGTTGTAGCCGTTACAAAAATGAAAATTAGATTCTTCCCTACTGGCAACTAGTTTCTAAGTAATAATATTAAAATTAAATAGTTTCAAACGGCTTGTTAGTGATATGCAAAACATACTGCCAAATACTATGCCAAAAATCCATGATGAATGTTGAAATCATAGTTTCACTATTAGCTACATATTTAAAATGCTTATTATATATTCTGTCTAAACTGTCATTAGATAAAGTTCTAAACACAAAATGGACAATTAGCCTAGTTTTGTAGATGCCTAACTTTGGGATAAAATGTTTCTTGATTTAGATCACTTTAATCCCTCTGTAATATCACAAACCCTCCTATTAGACCTAAAATTAAAGTTGTATATGTTGCAACTTTAAATGTTTTTTATTTTATTTTATTTTACTTTTTTACTTCTTTTTACTCACAAGGGAACATAACATGATGATAGTCATAAACTCAGTACAAAAGTAGCTGGAAAAACTAATCAACTCCTTTGGAATCATAGAACTGAGCACAAAGTGGTTCTTTTGAACGTGAAACCAAATGCAAGGACTCCCAAGTGCCCCATCTCCAGCCTTGACCTCTTCTTAAACGAAGTTTTTATCCAACAGCTTACTTGAACATGAGCCTAGAATGTCTAACAGGCATCTCAAACATAACCTGTCTAAAACAGAGTAATTTCCTCTCCGCAACCTACTCCTTCCCAGACTTGCACATCTCAATAAATGGTACTACCAGCCTCCAATATGCTCACATCAAAACCTTGAGAATATTTCTAAACTCCTCTTTTTCCTTCCTTCAATCACAACATCCTTTTCATCAGCAAACCCTATTGACTTTATCTCCCAAACATTATAGATTTGTCCAGCTGTCTTCATCTCTACCACCCCCATAGTCCAAATTACTGTCACTGCTCACTTGAGTGACTTCCATAACCTTCTAATTCACTGTCACTGTTAGGGAAGGACTGATAAGGATGTTACGATCTTTTGCCTGACAACAGCCTCCTCTCCACACAGCAGCTAGTTATATTTTATAAAATACAAAGGAGAACATGTAATTCCCCTGATCAAAACTTTCCATTGTCTTCTTCCCACTGCATCATAGACAAACTTCAGACTGCTTACCATGCCCAACAGCCCTGGATGTGCCATGGTCCCTGCCTGTCTCTCTGGGATGGAGCACATAACTTTTCCTTTCTCATTAATTTCAATCCTATAGGCCAATGACTTTCTCCTCTTGAACATGCCAGCCTTACTCCTGCCTTAGATCACTCGTGCTTGCTGCTCCCACTTCCTGGAAAACTCCCTCTAGATTTTTCTCATAGTGCTTTCTTCTTATCATTCAGTCCCAATTTATATATCACCTCAAAGAGGTTTTTCCTAAGCCCTCAGCCACTCTACCAGATCACATGGTATTATTCCCATCAAAGAACTTACCACGCACCATTTATTTATTTGTTTATTGTCTACCTCTTCCACCCCATCAACCCTGAAGTTTGACCCAGACTTTCTCTATCTGCATTTTCTATCTTGACCTAAAAACATAGATCCTGCCCTCCCTCACTCTCCAACCCACCAGTCGACAAATCCCACTAAAGATGCCTCTTCCAGCCAGCCAGCCTCCACCTGCACTCTCATTTATTGCCTGGAACTTTCCCCAAAACTGTCCTTCAAAGCTCCCCTTAGCCGCTCCTGCTTCCATGCAATCTGTTCTCAAACAGTAGTTGAATTATTTCTGAAATGCAGTAACACAACTTCCCAATTCAAAGCCATTCAGTGGCTTCCCATTGCACTTGGAATCATGTTCATAATCCTTACCAGGACTTAACCTCAGTAAGATTAGGCCCTTCCCAGCCTCTCCAACTCTGCCTCTTACAACTCTCCCCTTTATTCTCCATGCTCTAACTACACTGTTGAAGGCCATACTGTTTTTCACGTGTGTAAGCTCTCTTCTCAACCTAAATCCTCAAATGTGACTTTATGCAAAACCACTGCTGTCTCCCACTTGACCTGGTCCCTCCTCTTCATCTATCAGGTTTTAAGTTAAGCCAGGTTTAACTTAAAACCCCTTCATCCATCAGGTTTTAAGGTGCCCACCTGTGGTCCCAGTTGCTCTGGAGGCTAAGGTGGGAGGATCCCTTGAACCCAGAAGGTCAAAGCTACAGTAAGTCATGTTTGTACCATGGCACTCTAGCCTGGGCAACAGATCGAGAGCCTATCTCAAAGAGAAAGATAAAAAGAAAAATCCATTCAAAGCTTTATCCACAAAGCTTTATCTTTAAATTCTGGTGCTGGTCATAGTTTTTTTGTTAGATTCTCTTATTTAAAAAATAAAAATAATATCAATCACATGCAGTGGCTCACGCCTGTAATCCCAACTCTTTGGGAGGCCAAGGTGGGCAGATCACCCGAGGTCAGGAGTTCGAGACCAGCCTAACCAACATGGAGAAACCCCATCTCTACTAAAAATGCAAAATTAGCCGGGCATGGTGGTGGGCGCATGTAATCTCAGCTACTCAGGAGGCTGAGGCAGAAGAATCACTTAAACTCGGGAGGCAGAGGTTGCGGTGAGCCGAAATTGAACCATTGCACTATAGCCTGGGCAACAAGAGCGAAACGCTGTCTTAAAAAAATAAATAAATAAAAATATTGTTTGTTTAAAGCATGCATAAAAATGTATGTCTTAAAATATACATAAACATTCCAAGATGCTTCCAATTTGTGTAATATTTACCTGGAGGACTCGTACTTGGGAGACTTAACATGAATTGAGTCTCTGAGGTCTCCGTGTGAAACAAAAGAAGGACAACAAAAGATTTATCTGTAACACTGTAATTTGTACCTAGGTTTTTTAATAAGTGAAATTTGCATTATAATTTTTTCCATTCATAAATACATAAGCAAACCAAAGGTTTTTGTCCTTCCCTTCACTGGTTTGCTAAATAAATAAATAATAATGATGTATTCCAGAACAACAACAACAACAAATCTTCATCTACAAAACTGCGCCTTGATCTGCAGGGCAGGACTCTGAGCCTCTGACATGTGTCAGGAGGACCCTTTTCAGGAAACTACTTGCCAGCTGGCACTAAACCTAAGCCTGTCTGAGAGTATGCAGTACTTTCAAGTTTATTAAAGTATAAGGTGCAGCCACACAAAGCATTTTGACTAACTTTCCAGAGTTGCTAAGGAAAATGAGAGACCAGTGATCCAAAGCAACCAGCAATTAGTCCTGAGGGTGCTTTGGAGATTTAGAACAAAATGTTATATTCAGAACATAAAACTTCAGAAAGCAACTATTCAGTAAATTATCCAAACTGAGACATCATACATATTCAGGAGTCCCATTTTCTACCTTCTTGACATACTTTGTCCACCATCATAAAACACTTCATATGTATATTTTCTTTCTCTACCCTGAGGACAGAGCAGGTTCCATACCCTAAAGCTATTTGGCTTCAAACACAAGTGATTTAGTTGCAAAGCAAACGTTTTGGACCATAGCCTCAAAGGGCAGAGATACATGTCAATGGAAGAGTGAAAGTGGAAAAAAAGTTCTGATTGTTGGATTTCTCTGAACAGTAGGGCTATTTGGGGCATCTAAACTCTACAGCTCAGTAACCATGAGAACATGATGAAAAATTGTGCTTTCCTGATAACATTGCTCTGTCTTGCCTAGGCGACTCAGAAGCCAAATTATTTTCACTTGAATAGTATCGGTTGAGTCATCTAATTCACTTTCATCTCATGGCAATGTTGGGTGTTAGTAATATTTAATCATATTAAACTTGAAGCTTATTTTGCTTTGTTCTTTAACCAGAGGATTAAAAAAAGTAGAATATTTGTTTAATCCAGATCATGCACAAAGAGTATTTTTAGTGAATATAATTATAAGGAAAAGGAAGTAAAAACAAGTCAATGAATGCTTTGTTGTGTTATGATTTACCAATAAGCTGAATAATTAACAGAGATTTTTATTTTATGCCTGTAAATATAGAGTTTAGAAGAGTTTGTCTTTTTTTTTTTTTTCTAAGTGAAACTTTGCCATTTACCTATTTAAATATCACCTATTTAATGTGGTCTTACATGTTAGTGGATATTGGTATCTGGATAAAGAATGACCACTTTTGGACCTAAGACAAAAAAATGTTTCTTTCTCTCTCTTCTCACTGGGCTTTCAGTGGCTAGAAACAATTTGTAATTTGGTATCAGACAGATCTAGGTTTAAACACGTCTCAATGCTGCCTAGCTGGATAAATTACTTAATCTCTCCAGCAACCAGTTTATTCATTTCTCAAGTGGGAACATATAACTCCAAGCTCTCAGTGTTGGTTTAAGGCTTAGGAGGGCAATATTTGAAGCTCTCATACTGATAAACTCTTATATTGAACGAATAAAGTAATTTCAGACACTAAGATACCTAATTGGCTCAGGGCCTATTTGGAGTCAATAAAGTTGTCCCTGTACCCCTTAAATCCCACTATGTAGGAAAACCATGTATCAAAAAGGTGTGCCTGATGCCTTACCTCCGCAGCATATCTTACGCCATCTACTACGTGCTCAGAGCCGTGGTCATCAGCGGATCCCCAGTGAAGGTGAAACTGCCGTAACCTGTAGCTTCCAGTGAGTGGACCACCATGTAGAGCTAAACACCAACATGTTTTATATTGTTAGCAAGAAAAAAGTATGTACATAAGCTGCCCAACCCACAACATCTCCCTGAACTACTCCATATATCCATGTTCTCCAAGAAATTTTTTACAAATGTGTCATTTGCTTTGCCATCAAGAATACCACTTTTAAATATGTGTAGAGTGAAAATAGAACATTTTTAAAGGCCTAAAGAGTCCGCAATACAGATTTGTATGGAACACCTGGGAAATCATAACAGACATACTGGTTAGAAAAGTATAGAAATGAGGAATTCTGAAAGGTAAGGAATTGTTGTGTTTAACTGAGGAAAAGTCAGCCTCTCCGAATAAGGATGTGACATGCAGAGACAGAGATCCAGTTTGAGCTTGGTAGAGCAGGGCAGCATTGTGGTTAGGGCACAGGCTTCAGCAATTAGAAGGCCTGCACTCATGCTATATTTTCCTAATTATGTGATCTCGAACAAACTCTAACTTTTTCTTTTTTCTCTCAAGACAACAAAGTCTCTCCCTGTTGCCCAAGCTGGCACAATCATGGCTCACTGCAACCTCTAACTACTGGGCTCAAGTCAACCTCCCACCTCAGCCTCCCGAGTAGCTAGAAGTGCAGGAGTGCACCACTACACCTAGCTAATTTTTCTTTTTTTTTTTTTTTTTTTTTTTTTTTTGGTAGAGGCAGGGTTTCACTAGGCTGGTCTCAAACTCCTGGCCTCAAGTGATCCTCCCACCTAAACCTCCCAAAGTGTTAGGATTACAGGCATGAGCTACCACACCTGGCCAGGCTGGTCTCAAACTCCCGGCCTCAAACTATCTTCCCAGATAAGCCTCCTAAAGTGCTAGGATTATGGGCATGAGCTACCATACCTGGCCACAGACCTTAACATCTAAGTTTTATCTTCCACATGTAAAAACAAGATAGTAATGGAACCTCCTCCTAATACTATCATTAAAACAGAAGAAAAATTAGACACAAAGCACTTATCACTACCTGACACACAGTCAACACAATCAACACAGTTTTTTACTGTAAAAATAGGCAAAGCAAGCACACTTTTTGTACTTAAATTCTATATTCTTGGGGAAATGTGAAATATAGGACAAAAATAATTTTTCAAAAATCTGTCATATCTTTATCACTTTGACAAAGTACATTTGAGTACTTTTACTCAATAAATATGATCTCTAAAACTATGACAATAAATCATATCAAGTATATGGAAAAGCTTCTTAATAGAAAACATAGTCCTAAATTGTCTCATGCTAATTAATCTTTAGTGGGCATGTTTAAAGCACATGGGAGAATCAGGAAGCATTGGATGCTAAATATACCATAAGTATTATTAAATTTCTATTAACAGGCCTGGTATGGTGGCTCACACCAGTAATCCCAGTACTTTGGGAAGCCAAGAAGTGAGGATCACTTGAGCCCAGGAGGACCAGCCTGGGCAACATAGCGAGACCCCCATCTTATTATTTAAATATATATTTATATTTATGTAAATTCAATATGTATATATTTAATATAAATAAATTTTTATATATTTTCATATTTACTATCTGTGTATACACAGATAGTAAATATATATTTTTTGGCTGGGTGTGGTGGTTCACACCTGTAATCCTAGCACTTTAGGAGGCTGAGGCAGGTGGCACTTGAGGTCAGGAGTTCGAGACCAACCTGGCCAATGTCTCTACAAAAACAAAACAAACGAACAAGAAATTAGCCAGAAGTGCTCGCTTGAACCCAGGAAGTAGAGGTGGCAGTGTTTTGGGTTTTTTTGTTTTTTGTTTTTTTTTTTGGAGACAAGGTGTCTCTCTGTTGCGCAGGCTGGAGTGCAGTGGGGCTCAAACTCCCAGCCTCAGTCAATCCTCCCACATCAGCATCCCTAGTGGCTAGGACTACAGGCACTACAGGCACACCTGGCTATACCCAGCTAGTTGTATTTTTTGTAGTGATAGGGTTTCACCATATTGCTCAGGCTGGTCTGAAACTCCAGAGCTCAAGTGATCCTCCTGCCTCAGCCTCGCAAAGTGCTGGGATTACAGGTGTGAGCCACCGTACCAGCCTTGAATTTGACTTTTTAAAAATTGTTGGTAATTTGCTAACCCTAGGCATTTTCTTAAACTACACTGTAGTCAGCTGTCTTGAATAAGAAGCAACCTGGCAACAGGATCTGTTTGCTCACGCATTTACTGTCTGACAATTAGGATACAAATTCCTTTAAGGCAGAAACTATTTTGGTCCTCTGTATCTCCAGTGCCCAGAAAGTACTTGAATCAATTAACATTACCAAGGTAAGAGGCCTCACCTGTTAAAGTACTCCTCCACAAACTAGTTTGTAAGGATGCTACTGAAGTTATCTGGGAATCACTAAAAACTAAGTTCTTAGGACTAGTGAACCTGAAAATAATCACTTTATGGTAAACTTGCTTTATGGTAAAGCTACAAGAACAGCACATCTGCAATTTGCTTGGAATCTAGAGAAACAAGAGCCAAGAGCATAGAGTTGCCAGGATTATACCGAGAGAAAAACAGAGAGACCAAAGGACATAGATGTTCCCACTCAGTAGGACCTTATATTATTTAGGAAGCCAGAAGAACCTTCATTAAATCTGGCTTATTTTATTCAGAGCATATACACACCAAGCTACTCTCTCATTCAACAATTATTAAGAGCTGACTATGGGCTAGCAACTATTCAATACCAAATACGCAATGATAAGCAAAAGTTGTCCTTATTCTCAAGAAATTTAGTAGTGAAGAAACAGATAATCATAATAGAGCTTTATATAATTGTCACATTGTCATAGGTTACCAATTCATTTTCCTAGCTATCTTAGCTCCTCGGGATTACACACCTATGGCATGTGCACCTATTAATCTTTTTCTGTTTGTTGTGTATGTTTTAAGGAATACATAGTGTAAGATCTTGTGAATAATTTGTTTGACTGCAGGCAGTTACCTAGAACTAGATAATGGAAGCATAACTGAGAAATTATATTTTCTAGAGATGAAATTAAAGAACCATCACTGAATTCATCAAGTTACTGCTCTTCCTAGCAGGACTTTCTTAATCAGAAGACAACTTTCCTTTGAACAGCTGTTTAAAATTTTGGCGCACATATTTTATCTACAAAAAGAAGAAATACCATTATTGTTAGTAGTAGTTACTAACACTTATTGAGTGCTTACTATAATCCAAGAACTATTTCATTTATAAAATACAAAAATTAGTACCATATATTTTTAAAAAATAAAGGTTCCAACAATAAATAATGTTTAACTATTTAAGTGTTAAATGGTAAATATTAATTGATTTCTTGTGGTTTGTAATTTTATTGGGAGTTAATCTATGTATGCTAGTGTACCCTAATGCTATGTCGTAGTATTTTCCATGTCCTTCCATCACACACACAAAAATATTTTTTGTAACTTAAACACACATGTATTGAGTGCCTACCATGTGCCAGGTACCATGCTAGGTAGGTAAGTAAGGCATAGTTGTTACTCATAGAGAGTTTTAGCTCAATGGAAAGACAGAGAAGCCAATTAGCAGTTACAAGATAGTGTGGAGAGTTCTGCATTACGAAAATCCCAGGATGCCCTGGGAGCTACAGTTAGGATGGTAGGGCCTCAGGTGAGGTTCCCAAAGAAGCGAGATCCTGTTTGAGTTCAGAAAGACCAGGAGCTGAGGTAAGAACAGCCTTGTCTTTCTTCATCAGATTACTATTTCACCTGTATATTACAGCCAATAGGAAGTCTTCTTAAAGAATTTCATGAGCCAGGAATAGCACGGTGGCACATGCCTGTAATCACAGCACTTTGGGAGGCCAAGGCGAGTGGATACTTGAGGCCAGGAGTTCGAGACCAGCTTGACCAACATAGTGAGACCCCATTTCTACTAAAAATACAAAAAATTAGCCAGGCATGGTGACATGCACCTGTAATCCCAGCTATTCAGGAGGCTGAGATGGGAGAATCACTTGAACCTGGGAGGCAGAGGTCGCAGTAAGCTGAGATTGTATCACTGCACTACAGACTGACAGAGTGAGACCCTATCTTAAAAAAAAAAATCATTAGCCAGGTGTGGGTAGTGTGTGACTGAGGCGGGAGAATCACTTGAGCCCAGGAGTTCAGGGTTACAGTGAGCTATGGCTGGGCCACTGCACTCCAGCTGGGGACAAAGCAAGTGTCCCTCTCTTAAAAAATTTTTTGTTTAAAGTTTAAAAAAAAACAAGAAAGAAAAAAAAGTAACAGCCATCTGCTCTCTTCTGCTCCCTTTTTAAAGGACTATGAAATCTCTGAGTAGTTCTCTCAAGTTTAACTATGGAGCATGGATATGTTCACCCAAACACACCCTCCAAGGACTATGAGGAGGATTTCATGCCTGTGGTTTATTGACATGCCTGAGTTGGGATTCAGGGTTAATCTTGGTCAAGAATGACTTCTTAGAAAAATGGAAACTGTTTTACTCAAATTAATGTGGTTTGCTACAGAAAGTATCTTTGTGATTTTAATAGTTTGCCAAAAATCAAAAAAACAGCAAAAACTTATTTTGTTTAACTATTGTGGTTTCTTCTTTTTAACTGATTTAATCCCCTGAATCATCATGAAACAATCTCTTTTGGTTTATCTTGAGAAAAAAAGAGTAAGAATCATGACCCATATTTACATAGCTTCTGTCTCAGATGAGTACAAAGTACTTTATGGATATTTTCAATTAATCCTGGTAATTTTATTGTGAACTAGATAGGAAAAGGATCTTCATTTAAAAGAAAGAGCACATACTACTGATGACAAAGTGTCAAATCCGGAAACATAAATTGATTTCACTGATTAACCCGAAGTACAGGGAAAATGAGAGGAAAAGAAAAAAAGAAGAGAGAGAGAGAAACCTGGGTTCTCATAGAGCAAATCAGAGTAGAAAATGTTTACACTATGAATGTTTACGTTTATAAAGAAAAGTCTTGAAGTTTTAGATGAAGTAAAATGTAATCATTTTTCATTCTAAACTGAGGAATGAGTAGCTTCACTTTTTTTTGTTTTGTTTTGAGATGGAGTCTCGCTCTGTTGCCCAGGCTGGAGCGCAGTGGCATGATCTCAGCTTGCTGCAGCCTGCGCCTCCCAGGTTCAAGCCATTCTCCTGCCTCAGCCTTCTGAGTAGCTGGGATAACAGGGATGTGTCACCACACCTGGCTAATTTTTGTATTTTAGTAGAGATGGCATTTTACCATGTTGACCAGGCTGGTCTCAAGCTCTTGGCCTCAGGTGATCCGCCCACCTCAGTCTCCCAAAGTGCAGGGATTGCAGGTGTGAGCCACTATGTTTGGCCTTATTTATTTATTTATGTTTATTTTTGAGACAGTTTCACTTTTTAAATGTTTTACATAAACAATATCAAACTACAATTATGGGTGGTTTAAACTATATATTTAGAACACCTGGACAATTTTACTATATATATCATATTAACCACAAGAGATGGGATCTCACTATTGCCCAGGCTGCCCTCAAATTCCTGGGCCTAACTAATCATCCTCCTTCCCCAGTAGGTGGGTCTACCAACGTGTGACACCATGCCTGGTCTAACCACTTTCGTTAACATAGATTTACAAAACTGAGGGTTTGAAGGAAATATAGTTGAACATATTTATATAAAAGGCCAGGTTCCTCCTTACTTGCACTTCCTCCAAAAAGTTGAAAATGCCATGTACTAATTTTTCTTTATGCATTTTCTAGAATGCTTTGATGAAAACATACTACTTAGGCCAGTGTGGTGGCTCCCAGCACTTTGGGAGACTGAGGCAGGCAGATCCCTTGAGCCCAGGAGTTCGAGATTAGCCTAGGCAACATGGTAAAACCTTGTCTCTACAAAAAGTGCAAAAATTAGCACATGCCTGCGGTCCCAGCTACTCAAGAGGCTGAGGCAGGAGGATTGCTTGAGCCCAGAAAGTCTAGGCTAAGTGAGCCATGATCGTACCATTGCACTCCAGCCTAGGCAACAGAGCGAGATCTTATCTTAAAAAAAAAAAAAAAAAAAAAAAAAAAAAAAAAAAAAACCTTACCACTTTTATGAATTTGACAAATATGAGGATGAAGTGTGTGTGGGCTTATAATTTTTGATAATAAAGCTTTACATAAATACAAGATACTACAACTAACCTAAATCTGGGCCCAATTGATAAGTAAAAACTTCAATTGGGGATTTTTAAAATTTAACTATATATTTTCATTAATAAAACAAATACACCATCATCCTAATCTTAGACTAAAAATAAAATCAATCTGTCAGAAGCCCTAAAAAGTGTTTCCATATATAATTCTCTCTAATTTTTTATCTCATCTTACATTTAAACTTGATACCTTAGACAGAATCTATGCTTGGGCAGTAGATATGCCTGAAAAGACATTAAACATTCTTTTCAAGAATGCTTTTCTCATCACTTACGTAATAAATCAATGAACAATTTGTGGGTCCATTATTTACACAGTGTGAAAGACACTATCCCAACAACTCATCATTAAATGAAACTTTTACCATGTTTTCTAGAAAACAGTACTAATAGGGAATATGCACTAAAAAAAAAAGTGTTTCAAATATTTATTTTTTAAAAAATTTTTTTAGCTGGGCATGGTGGCGCGTGCCTGTAATCCCAGCTACTCAGCAGGCTGAGGCAGGAGAATTGCCTGAACCCAGGAGACGGAGGTTGCGGGGAGCCGCGATCGCGCCATTGCACTCCAGCCTGGGTAAAAAGGGCGAAAAACCCTCTAAATAAAAAAATTTAAAAAGTTGAATTTTTTAACTTCTACTTTCCCTCCCTTTAATGTCCATTATTAGGAAAATGGTACATAAATTATGACATAAGCATAGCTAATACAATTCAACTTTTTAAATTATTTTATTTTACTTTTATTTTTTGAGACAGGATCTTGCTCTGTCGCCCAGGTTGAGTACAGAGGCACTATCATGGCTCATTGCAGCCTTGACATCCTGAGCTCAAGCAATCCTCCTGCCTCAGCCGCCACAGTAGCTGGGACTACAGGCATGCGCACTGTGCCTAATTAATTTTTTATTTTTTGTAGAAATGAGGTCTCACCATGTTGCCCACGCTGGTCTCATACTCCTGAACATAAGCAATCCTTCCACCTCAGCCTCCCAAAAGTGCTGGAATTATATGTGTGAGCCACCACACCTGGCTACAGTGTAGCTTTTTAACAAGATATATTTTAATCTGGAAAGATATCTATAAAATATTTTTAATGGGAAAAAATTTCAGAGTTATATAGCATTATTCCAAATGTATTTTTAATAAGAAAATGCAAAACAAGGATGATACACATGTATGTATACATAACTAATCACTAAAATATTATGGACAAATATAACATTAGGCTGGATGCAGAGGCTCACATCAGTAATCCCAGCATTTTGGGAGGTCAAGACAGGCAGATCAACTGAAGTTAGGAGTTTGAGACTAGCTTGGCCAACAAGGCGAAACTCCATCTCTACTAAAAATAGAAAAAATTAGCTGGTTGTGGTGGTGGATGCCTGTAATCCCAGCTACTCAGGAGGCTGAGACAGGAGAATCGCTTGAACCTGGGAGGCAGAGGTTACAGTGAGCTGAGATTGTACCACTGCACTCCAGCCTGGGCAACAGAGCAAAACTCTGCCTCAGGAAAAAAAAAAGAAAAAAAGAATATAACATTAGTTACTTCAGGAGAGATTGTGAGAAGAAAGAGACATTAATATTTGTCATATGTTTCCATATTGTTTTATTTACTGTATATGGATATTACTTCTGCAATTAAGAAAACAATATTTTTTTAAAAAAAAAACTAACCTTTTTCTATTCAAGCATGTACTAAATGGCATTATAGGTTTGCAAATAATGCTAAATAATTATGGCTAAAACTTTGCAGAAACAAATCATGAAATATTTATAAAAACTATTAAACTTCAATATTTTTATAATGGTAAATGCTAAGGGAAGTTATAAATACTCCTTTTTATTATTTTAAATACTTTTCTAAATTCTCCTTTTCTAAATACTCCTTTTTATTATTTTAAGGTAAGATTATCTGAAGGCTGAAATATATAACAAGATACCTCAATTCACATGAAGAAAAAATATACTTCAGTTTCACAAATTCCAGGTCTAGCAAAAACAAAACATGAAAGATAAGAGAGTGTCGTCTAATCATCCAAACGCTTCACTCATGACCACACACACAAAGCCAACCTGATTTGTCTTCTGTGTCATCAAAGTCAACGTTGAAGGAATGGCCGCTGTTGCTGATGATTTTAGCTGAGCTTGGGTCATACTTGATACTAAGTGGTCGGAGGGAAGAATCATATTTCACTTCTTTGGTTTTAATCTCAATTGGAGATTGCCGATCACCATCAGCAATAGGGAAAAATTCATTCCAATGAATAGGACCTTAAATATATAGGACCAAAAAAAAACTATTAAATAAGTTTTTCTTTCAACAAACATTCATTGAGTATAACGCACTGTACTTGAAATTGAAGAAAATGCAAAGATTAATAAAATGAGATTCTCATCCTCAGGAACTTTGAGTCTAATTTTTATCTTTTACAAGATTAGTTGTTTTTATTACAGAGGTAGGAAACTCTTGGTGTGCCTTAAGTCATTTTCAGAGTTAAAATAACCCTTATAGACAGCAGAGCCTGTAAATTTTATAGACTAGTCTCCAAAGGTAACCTTCTACCAAACTAAAAACAATCACACAATTCATCATTGAAAACAATGACATTCAGTCTCAGGTCCAAGAATGAGCTGTGGTTGCTCCAGAGGTCAAGTTTGCAGATTGAGAGAGTCAAAAAAGCTGAGAAAGCCATGACACAAAGGAAGGGTGTCATTCTTAAAGATGGAGTCCTTTATTCTTCCTTCTATCACTCAGTGCTACCTTCTGGTGTCACTCAGGCCTCCACTCAATTACCTGTGCTGTGCAACAGGCATACCAAGAAAACATACAAATTTTTCACCTAGGATAATCCAAATAAAATGGCTGCACCATGTCAGGAAATGTACTATTGTTGATTATCTGCAGTGGAGTCAGGTTGTAATCTATTTTTCTCCTTCTTCATTTCAGAAGGTTCTTCCATGGTTATTTTGCCACTGTTACACTTGAATTTCAACACAAGAGACAAGTGTCATTCTGGTCCTCTATTCAAAAAGTCAAAATCACATCAAGTTCACAAATCAGACAAGAGAAATGAGCCAATTAGCTGACGGTTCTCTTTTCAATCCTCTTATTTCTTTGGAAGACTCTATATAAAGTCTTGCCTCTCAAAATCAGCTGCAAAGTTGTAGTTTCATGTAAGCTCCATGTCATTCTACAGATGTGAGTCACTTTGTAGGTTATAGGTTCTTATTCTCTTCTCACCACTATTCGTGAGATTTATACGGCTATCACCAGGTGAGCAGAGAACTGGCTACTGACTAAGGTTTCCCCACCTACTTTGCTAACCAATCTTTTACTAAAAATCAAGTGCTAATTAAAACATCACAGCATGACAATTAATTAAGCATGTTACTAACAACAACTAAAAAACATTTTAAAATGATAAAATTTAGAGTGATATTTAAATAAATGCAATATATCACAATCATCAACAGCTTCAAACTCTAAATCTTTTTTTTTTTTTTTTTTTTGAGACAGGCTCTTGCTCTGTTATCCAGGCTGGAATGCAGAGGTGGAAGCTCAGCTCACTACAACCTCAACTTCCCAAACTCAAATGATTTTTCCCCCTCAGCCTCCCAAGTAGCTAGGAGTACAGGTGGGCATCCTCACACCCAGCTAATTTTTTAAAAAACTTTCTTTTTTTTTTGTAGAGAGAAATTCTCACTATATTGCTCACTCTATCACTTATATAGGCTGGTCTCAAACTCACGGGCTCAAGTGATCCACACGTCTCGGCTTCCCAAAGTGTTGGGATTACAGGCATGAGCCACCATGCCTGGCCCAAACTCTAAATCTAATGCTGCCTACTATGCCTCATTTTTGCAAAAGAGAGTGCACACATACATACATTCTTTCTTTCATATATCCTTCAGGCACACAAAGTCATAGTGTAAATATATAACTACACACTCAGCTTAAGAGGTGTCATCTGACAAACTGGACTTCAAAGCCACTTGAGCATCAAAAGTCCTTACTTAGAACCTATTACAGAAAAAAACCTTGTTTATTTAATACTTTTACTATCTTTCTCAGTACTCTTTCTATACATAACCTAGATCTTTTTTTCCCCTTAATTCTGAAAATGTCTTCTATTTCGCTGCCACCAAATAAGAGCTAATCTAAAGAAAATTAAATTTCAAACATGCAATGCATGTGTCACAACATGCAGGTGGCAGTCTTCCAGTTAATAAAGACTTGCTTTCTTCTCCTAATTTCTTTGCTCTCCTATTTCCAGTCCTTTATAATCAGAACTATTTTTAAAAGAAGAGTCCAACCAAAATAAAATAAAAGTAATAATACTTCATATCAGATTTCCAATATTATCTATTAACTACCATAGTCAGTTCAGTACCCTGCCTCTTAAAAAGGCACCCTTTATCAATTTTTCCAAAAAAATTTCCTCCTCCTCCTCCTCCTCCCTAACCCCCGTTAACCTCTCAGGCTAGTCTGGAACTTCTGGCCTCAAGCAATCCTCCCATCTCAGTTTTTGAGTAGCTAGGATTACAGGTGCAAGCCACCATAATTGGCCTAAACATAATTCTTGTACAATGGCACCATCTTGGCTCATGGCAACCTTCACCTTCCCTCCCGGGTTTAAGGGGTTCTCCTGCCTCCGCCTCCCGAGTAGCTGGGATTACAAAGCACGCGACACCACGCCCAGCTAATTTTGTATTGTTAGTAGAAATTAGGTTTCTCCACGTTGGTCAGGCTGGTCGAACTCTCGACCTCAGGTGATCTGCCCACCTCGGCCTTCCAAAGTGCTGGATTACAGGCATGAGCCACCGCGCCCGGCCAACATAATTCTTAATTATAGACATACGGTGGTTGCTCAATTGATTTAGGAAATTTTAAATATCCATAGTGACATACACTTTTCAGTGATGTCACATTCCCTAAACTAAACTAATAAGGTAGTCAAAGGTTAGAGGAAGTCATTGTAAGTTATTTGTGAAGATAATACCCTTTCAGGGCTTCAGGTCTTGATGTTCCGTTTTATCAGTGTCGCTATTCCCAGCTTAAGTCTCTTTTTATCTGCTCAGTCACTGGCTTTACCAACGTTTAAACAGAGAGAAAAAAAAAAAAAAAAAAAAACTTGTCTAGTAGCCTGGCTTGGTGGATCATGCCTGTAATCCCAGCACTTTGGGAGGCCAAGGAGTGCAGATCACGAGGTCAGGAGATAGAGACCCTCCTGGCTAACACAGTGAAAGCCCATCTCCACTAAAAATACAAAAAATTAGCCGGATGTGGTGGCATGCACCTGTAATCCCAGCTACTTGGGAGACTGAGGCAGGAGAATCACTTGAACCTGGGAAGCAGAGGTGAGCTGAGAGATTGCATCATGGCATTCCACCCTGGGCGACAGAGCAAGACTCATCTCAAAAACAAACAAACAAATAAAAACTTGCCTAGTTAGTACATAATACATTTCCAATAGGATTTTGCCAATCTTTCTCTGAAGACCATATCTTTAAGTAAGGATGTGGTCTTCAGAGACAGATTGCATCTAAAAGAAGGGAATGGCTCTGCAATTCCTAACAGACATACAAAATCGCCCCTTATTAATGGCTTTTCTAAGATAAATTTTTAAAATTCCTGAAGATAAGCTTCATTCTGGCCAATAATTTCTAACCTACTAAAGAGTAATCAATATCCATTGACTGAAATACCCTTCTTCTTCCTAACTATCACAAGGGCACAGTTGGGATTCAATGACTATTAAATAACCATAATAAAAACGACTTCAGCAGAGAGGCAAATTAAAAGAGATTTGTTTTTTCATTTTCCCCCCTAAACATACACTGGAAATTAGCAAAATGTAAGATTATAATTATGGCCTTAAGAAGAAATCCGCCTATATACCTTTTATTATTAAAGTTATAAATTTCGCCTGCTGCCATTTTTAAACTAGCATGTTTGAAAAGAGGCTACAAGGCGGGGCGCGGTGGCTCAAGCCTGTAATCCCAGCACTTTGGGGGGCCGAGGCGGGTGGATCACGAGGTCGAGAGATCGAGACCATCCTGGTCAACATGGTGAAACCCCGTCTCTACTAAAAATACAAAAAATTAGCTGGGCATGGTGGTGCGTGCCTGTAATCCCAGCTACTCAGGAGGCTGAAGCAGGAGAATTGCCTGAACCCAGGAGGCGGAGGTTGCGGTGAGCCGAGATCGCGCCACTGCACTTCAGCCTGGGTAACATGAGTGAAACTCCATCTCAAAAAAAAAAGAAAAAAAAAAAAGAAAAGAGGCTACAATTAGAAATAGGTTACAATTAGAAGTGGAACTTTTCTATTTTGTGAAATAAAACTTGCTATAAAACTTGGCCATACTATACTGTTCAATCATGTACATGCTAATAGAAGAAAAGTATTTTTATTCACAGTCTTAATTTTTCTCCAATTATTATGTATTTACTTCTTAAATTGACAAAAAAAGTATATATTTATGTGTACAACATGATGTTCCAAAATGTATACACAATGAGGAATGGCTAAATCAAGCCTTAATTTTGACAGTTATTCATTATAAGACTTTTTGGTGTTACTGCAATTATTTCAAGTAATTATCATTTAAAACAATCAGTTCAGTTTAACTTTGCAAAAACAAGAAAAATGTTTTACTTTTGATAATGTGAAATATACAAGAAGAAAAGTGTGTCTCATTATTGTTCATCCTATTAATACATTTCTATCAAAGAATTATTATTTTAGTAACCGTTTGCTCATCATTTGACAAGCGTGGAAAGAGAGGAAGAGTGGAGAAGTAACTCACAACATAACTTCATTTCCCAGCAAGAACCTGAAGCCTTACTAAAGTCCCCAGCCAGTAGTCAACCAACTGCAAATTGCTGTGGGAATATTAACAGTAACAGCTATTAGGAAACATGCAGTATTTTGTTTGCCAAGAAGCCAACTTAATCTTCAGTGTCACAATGCAAGTTAAGATTTCCTAAATATATTTTCAAAGATTTGCTATGATTTGTTTCTCCTAAGTGAATAATGGTGAGCTTCCAAGACTGAAAGCGAACTTGTCCTTATTTCATTAAAGTGTGTCATCAGACTTCTAATCTCCAAGCGTTTAATTGATAAGTGGCTGTTACTAGGCAAAGTCCTTGGCTTTTCAGATGAAGGTGAACGAACTTGTACGAATATTTGGGAATCTGGGCAATCCTGACAGAGACAACACACACCAACGCTCCTATCCACTACCAACACCCCGTCTACCCTGACAAGCCTGTTCTCCGCTTCCTGCCTTGGGCTCCGGGGAGTGCTGCTCAGTTTAAAGAGGAACCGAAAAGTTTCTAAGAGCGCGAGCCGAGTGTGTGGTCGGCGGGCGCCGGGACGTGGCGCCAGACCTCTTGCCCCCTCCCCGCCGACCCCGCGCAAAGTCCTCCTCGGATCGAAAAGGCGCTCACCGTTATGCTCGCCGTATCCCCAGCTGAGCCTCGACATGGTCCCGCGGGGTGGAAGGCAGAGGCAGATGTGGCTGGGCAGCTAGAGCGCGGCGGGAGCTGGGCGGGGCGCGGGGGGGGCCTGTCAGGGCGCGGGCCGCCGAGTGGAAGCCGGTTTACGCGGCCCGCCAGGGGCGCTGCCGCCCGCGTCCTCCAGGAGGCAGAGGCGTGCGGGTAAGGCGCCCGAGCCGCTGGCTGTCTGAGGCGCGAGTGTCTTAGTTTGGACTCGGGAATAAGAGATTGGTTAGAAAGTGAGACGGAGAGAGAAAGGTTTCCGAGGGGATCCCTGCCTTCGGAGAAGGAGTCACTCTGGAGAGGAAAGTGCTGCCTAGAGGGCTTCCAGGAAATGAATGAGTCACCAGAGCCCGGAGCTGCCAGGCTGAGAGGTGGGGAACCCCGTGGAGGCGTAAAAGAGGTCGGTGATGGTCGTGGCAGTGGTGATTACAAATATAAAACATTAATGGCGATGGTAATCACCACCATTGAAAAATAACTACATATTAAAGGCTTACCGTGGGCCAGGTTCTTAGCTAAGTTAAAACGTTTACCCACGTTTTCCCATAAGAGCCTCTCAGCATTCCCTCGAGAAAGACTTGTGCCCCCTAATTAGGAGGTCAGGCTTAAGAAGCGCCCCACCCCAGGTCGCACAGCTAAAGCCGGCGGAATCGCTGTTGGAGAGGACGAGCTCCCCGCCCTGTGCTGGCTTCATTGCCCATTCATCCTTTCCTTGTTTCTTCCTGTCGCCCTGCAGGCTTGCTGAGATCTGGTCCCCAAATTCTGCTGCCCTCCTGAAATCGCAAGAAAGAAGGTTTTCAGACCATCTTTCCTGGATGCTTGGTGGGCTTGCTACCCTACGACTGGAGGCAGAACTAGCTGCGCAGAGCTTGAATTTCTGGCCTGGAGTAGCAGGTGTTCTGGGTTCAAAGTGAAAAATGAAAAGTGTGTACATGAACCACTTTCTACTTCCTTGTCTCAGGTCAACTGCCTCATATTTTATAAATCCAAGCAACTTCTTTGTAAGAAACCTAATATACCCATTTTCAGTAACTCAGATGATTTAGCATGTCAAGATGAATAATGTTCTTAACGTTCTGAGTAAATATCAGTTACTGATACACAATAATAGTGGTTACATGAATGGATGAATAAATGAATAGACCAAAATTGTTAAAGAAATTCTGGTCAGTGAGCTTCAAATACTTCCCAAATTGTTACTTTTGTTGCTTGGGTACACAATTTGTAGCCACCCAATGGGTTCACCTAGCCCGCTGTCTAGACAGAGCTTATTTATCAGGACAGGGAAATTGCAATATAGAAAGAGTAATTCACGTAGAGCCAGCTGTGCAGGAGACCGGAGTTTTATTACTCAAACCAGTCTCCCCCAGCATTTGGGAATCAAAGTTTTTAAGGACAATTTGGTGGGACGGGGGACAGCTAATGAGTCAGGAGTGCTGATTGTTTGGGTCAGAGATGAAATCATAGGGAGTCAAACCTGTCTTGCACTAAGTCAGTTCTTGGGTAGGGCCATAGGGTCAGATGAGCCAGTTTATCAATCTGGGTGGTGCCTGCTGATCCATCAAGTGCCAGGTCTGCAAAATATCTCAAGCTCTGATCTTGGGCTTTACAATAGTGATGTTATTCCCTGCAGCGGTTTGGGGAGGGTCAGAATCTTGTAGCCTCCAGCTGCATGACTCCTAAACCATAATTTCTAATCTTTTGGCCAATTTGTTAGTCCTACAAAGGCAGTCTAGTCCCCAGGCAAGAAGAGGGTTTGCTTTGGGCAAGGGCTGTTATCATCTTTGTTCTAAACTATAAACTATGTTCCTCCTCAAAGTTAGTTCAGCCTATGCATAGGAATGAATAAGGACAGCTTGGAAGTTAGAAATAAGGAGTTGCTTAGGTCTGGTCTTTTCACTGTCCGTTATAATTTTGCAGTAGCAGTTTCCAGTTCCCTCTTGTTTAAAATCGTAGTGCAGTCTATATAATTTTCTAAACCAGCAATCTAAATCTTGGAAACAATCAAATTACCATTCATAAGAAACGGGTTAGATCATCTGTAGAGCATCCATCCTTCAATGGACTTTTTTTTTTTTTTTTTGAGATGGAGTTTCGCTCTTGTTGCCCAGGCTGGAGTGCAATGGTGTGATCTCAGCTCACTGCAACCTCTGCCTCCCAGGTTCAAGCGATTCTCCTGCCTCAGCCTCTGGAGTAGCTGGGATTACAGATATGTGCCACCATGCCTGGCTAATTTTTGTATTTTTAGTAAAGATGGGGTTTTACCATGTTGGTCAGACTGGTCTTGAACTCCTCACCTTAGGTGATCCACTTGCCTCAGCCTCTCAAAGTGCTGGGATTACAGACGTGAGCCACCGTGCCCAGCTGCCATTCGATGGACTTCTGTCCAGTTATAAAAAGAATGAAGAGCTCCATGAGCAGATCAGATATAAAGTGAGTCCTGGGATGTACTGATGATAGGGGGCGGGAGAAGCAAAGGTGCAAAAGAGTGTATATAATAGACTACATGTTTAAGAAAAAAAGAGAAATAAGAAACTGTATACACGTTTTCAGATTTTTACCAAAGAGGTGTAAAGGATAAGCCATAAATTAATTAAAATGGTTCCTTATTGAGAATGAGTGTGAATGGGGTGGAAGTGTCAGAGCCAATGGAACCACAGCAACTCCATCTTGAATTCAAGCTGGATAACATAAGACTGGGATCTTTTGCGGGGGGCTCCATTCCCAGGAGATTAGGCATTTTTAGTCACAGGATGACATAGGAGGTTGGCAGGAAGGATATCAAAGGGACGGGTCATAAAGACTCTGCTTTATGGATGCAGTAAAGACATAAAACAGGATGCAGTAAAGAAGCTGGCCAAAACCCACCAAATCCAAGATGGCTTAGAAAGTGATCTCTGGTCATCCACTCAGCTCAGTATATGCTAATTATAATGCATTCACATGCTAAAAGACCCTCCCACCAGCCTCACAGTTTACAAATACCATGGCAACATCTGGAAATTACCCTATATGGTCTAAAAGTGAAAGGAGCCCTCAGTTCTAGGAAATTCCCACCCTTTTCCCAGAAAAACTCATGAATAATCCATCCCTTGTTTAGCATATAATCAAGAAATAACCATAAAAGTAACCAACCAGTAGTCTTTGGGACTGATCTGTCTTATGGAGTAGACAATCTTTTGCTTCTTTACTTTTCTAATAAATTGCCTTTACTTTACTCTGTGGACTCACCCCAAATTCTTTATTGCATGAGATCCAAGAACCCTCTCTTGGGATCTGGATTGGGACCTCTTTTCAATAACAGAGGGATAGGGATGAGTGAAACTTCTCAGTGTATCTTTTTGACTTTTAATCATAATGTCTTTAAATTAACTTTAGCCTAAAGCTGCCTCCTTGCATATTTTAAGTTCAGGTTAAAGGTTTCTCTGTATATACTGAACTATAACCTAACTAGATGTATAAATAAACTGTAGCCCACTCTTGTGCCAGTCACTGTTGGCCAATCAAAGGCAGCCAACTGTTCAAACCCTATTCAACTAAGGCAAACTTTGAGCTGTAACCAAACCAGCTGTTTCTGTATCTGACTTCCATTTTCTGTCTGTTACTTTCCTTTCTCTGTCCATCAACCTACCCACAGGGTAGGGCCAGAGTCTCTCTGAACCTATTCTGATTCGGGATACTGCCCAATTTGCAAATTGTTCTTTGCACAGTTAAACTCTGTTCAATTTAACTTGTCTAAGAGTTTTCTTTTAACACTGTTCTGCATTTTTTAAAAATAAAATTAAATCAAAAAGAATAAAAAGCAAACCCTGAAATTGAATTCAAACAGAAACAATTAAAATTATTTGTATACTGAATTGATAATGTAACCATAAAGAAAAAGCATTTGAATATAGTATTTTAAATATTTAAAAAGCATTTGAATATAGTATTTTGGCTATATATATATCCTTAGCAGGACATATTACATATTAGGAAGAAATACAAGAAAATCTTGAACATTACTAGTAGGTTTGTTTTTGGTAGGATATTGGTGTTATGCTTCTGAAACCATTTTTGTTTGTTTGTTTATGTATTTGTTTTTTGAGACAGAATCTCTCTCTGTCATCCAGGCTGGAGTGCAGTGGTGCAATCTCAGCTCACTGCAACCCCACCTGCCAGGTTCAAGCGATTCTCCTGCCTCAGACTACCAAGTAACTGGGATTGCAGGCACCCACCACCATGCCCAGGTAATTTTGTGTTTTTAGTGTAGACGGGGTTTCACCATGATGGTCAGGCTGGTCTGGAACTCCTGACAAGTGACCCACCCACCTCGGGCTCTTAAAGTGCTGTGATTCTGAACCATTGCACCCAGCTGGAAACCATTTTTGTATAAATTTTAAGATAGAACAAATGAACAAATATATTGATAATCTCTGGAACCATGATTTTCATTCTGGTTTATACAAAAATATGAAATGACAGAAGCTAAGAAATAAACCTGTGGTGTTGTATTTGAACATTATGTTCACTGAAAGATCCTAAAAACAATAATATCCCAATAATAATGAAGCTCATAAACCTTAAAATCTATAGCCCTTCACTGAGGGACCATTTCTAAAGCCATATTCTAAATTTGCATTTATAATTTTACATTACTTTTCTTTAAAAAAAAAAAGTTCCCAAATTGTAGTAGCTCAAGCTCTATAAATCTGCACCTACCCCTTGCTACCAGACACTGAAACTGCCCAATGGGTTCATCTTGCCCACTTCCTAGGCAGAACCAATTATTGATCAAGACAGGGGAATTGCAATAGATCCAGCTAAATAGGAGACTGCAGCTTTTTTGTTTGGTTGTTTTTTTTTTGAGACAGGGTCTCACTGTGTCACCTAGGCTGGAGTGCAGTGGTGCAATCATGGCTTACTGCAGCCTCCACCTCCCAGGCTCAAGAGTCCTCCTGCCTCACCCTCCCAAGTAGCTGAGATTGCAGGCATGTGCCACCATGCCTGGGCAACTTAATTTTTTTTGGTTGTGGGGAGAGACAGGGTCTCACTGTGTTGCCCAGGCTGGTTTCAAACTCCTGGGCTCAAGCAATCCTCCTGCCCTAGCCTCCTTCCAAAGTGCTAAAATTACAGGTGTGAGCCACCTCATCCTACTCAAAGTTTTATCTCACTCAAATCAAGCTCCCACCAAATTCCAAGGTTAGAGTTTTTCAAGGAGAGTTTGGCAGGGAGGGGGCTAGGGAATGGGTGATGCTGATTGGTTGGAAATGCAATTATAGGGGTATAGAAAATGATCCTCATGAGCTGAGTCTACTTCTGAGTGGGGGCCACAGAGGAGTTGCTGATCTGGTCAGGGCCATCTTGTTATCATAAATGCAAAAGCCTGAAAAGACATCTCAAAAGGTCAATCTTAGGTTCTATGATAGTGATATTATCTATAGGAGTAATTGGGGAAGTTGCAAATCTTGTGAGCTCCAGAACAATGGCTTATTTGCTTATCCTCTTATCCTCATAACCTAATGGTTTTCATTTGCTTTATAAAGATGGTTTAGTTTTGGGAAGGGTTATTACCATTTAAATTATAAACTAAATTTCTCCCAAAGTTCACTTGGTTCACACCCAGAAATGATCAAGGGCAGTTTGGAGGTGAAAGGCAAGATGAAGTTGGTTAGGTCAGACCTCTTTCACTGTTATAATTCTTACTATTATGATTTTTTCAAAGGTCATTAAACACGAGCATCCAGATCTTGGTTCCGAAATACCATTCCCCATTGGAAGGAACCAGAGCTACCTGGAGAAGTGACCGGTTTTACTAACAGCTGTGAATCTGTAGAAGTCTATAGCAACCTCAATTCTTGCCTCCTCAGAAAGAATTTGACCAAGGGGCATAGGGCAGAATGAGAGACGAAGGCAAGTTTTAGAGCAGGAATGAAAGTTTACTAAAAAGTGTAGAGAGGAACTAAAAGAAGTACACCTGGAAGAGGGCCAAGCCGCCAACTTGAGAGATTCAAGTGCACTGTTTGACTTTTGACTTGGGTGGGATTTTGTGCATTGATATGCTTCTGGGGTCTTGCATTTCTTCTTCCCTGATTCTTCATTGGGGTGGGCTGTCAGCAGGCAGAGTGGCCCGCCAGCACTTGAAAGGGGCTGCATGTACAGTGTGTTTACCAAAATTGTGCATATGCTCACTTGAGGTGTTTTTCCCCTACCAGTCAAGTGTTCCTAGAGGAAGGTCATATACCAGTTAAACTCTGCCATTTGCCTCTCAGTGTGCATGCTTGAGACCACGCATCCAACTCCTGAGATCCTGCTGGGAAGCTGCTCATCACCAACTTGAAGTGTTTCTATCTATTGGGAGACTGCTTTTCCCTGATGCCAGTTGCAACCAATTATTATTTTAGGGGGGCAATTCAATAACTGCCTGACTATCACCTGATGGTTTTGCTAACATTCTTGGTTGGGGGCAGTAGG